ACCCCTTGGCGTTGGCCAACGCGCCGGCGTCTCGGCCACGAGGCGCGTTACAGCCCGGCTGAGGGGCTGAAGGGAGGGACGGTAGGTGCGAGGGGCAATACCGAACCGGCGAGCAGAACCTCCCGTTTCTCGCCGTTGGCTGCTTTAGGGGCTTTCCGAGCCCTAAATGCCCGCCAAAAAGCGCCGCTCCGCTGCTGCAGACCCGCGAAAGCCCTCAAACTTTTAATCACAGCAGTCATTAGGACGCGGGCCTTCCCACAGCTCCTACACCGGGGAAATTTTAGGACAAATTGAGTCAACAACCGGCCAGAATTCGTTAAGCTAAAGCACGTGCCGGAGAAACACGTCCGCGGAGGGACACGAGACCTCAGGGCAAAGCGCGCTGGAACGGCGAATCTTAGGCGGACGCGTCCAGCTTCGTTTCACAGCTCCAAGACGCTTTAACTCCTGAGTCGCGGCCTCGCACAGGGAGCTCCCGCAAACGGCGACCTGCCGCTTTTTTTTTTGAAAGCAAAACCCCGAGCCGTCCCAGCCCTCCTAGCTTGCCGGCGCTGCCCCGTCCTTCAGCCGGAGCAACAGCGGTTAAATCCTGCCTCTTGTTCTGCAGCTGCAGCCGTTACAAAAGAAGAAGAAGGAAAAAAAAAAAGGGCAACGGCTTGAACACCCTCAAGCTAGAGATTCAGAACAGACGCTCCAGCCAAGCCCCAGCCAGCGAGCTGCTAAGACACGTCGCTATAGACGCGCCTCCGAACGCGCTGCCGGCTCTGTTGGGGCAACCAGCGGAGCTGAGCCCTCCCTGCTCGCTTCCAGCCCGTCCCGATTCCTGAAAGACTCGACTGGCTCCCGCGCCCCCGCTTTGGGGCAAACGCTAGAACGGTCTGACTGCCAAATTTCTGCTTGCCCTCCGAGAGAGGGAGCGGGAGGGCACGGGAGGGTTTGGCAGGAGACGTTTCTATTCTTCATTGGAAAATTACCCAGGCGCAGCAGGACGTCACCCAACGCTCTGGCTGAGATCTTGCAGCTTTGTCTCTGGCCTCTCTGGTGGCCTCTCTGGCTTGCATCAGGAATGTCCCCCAGGAGGGTTTTTCAGTCCCAGCCTTTGGCAAGAGCCAGAGGTCTATCAGCTCAGCAGGCCCCGCGTGGGGAAGGGGGACCGGCACGGCCAACTTGGCTTCCCAGCACCAGACTGTGTGAGCTGAAGGCTGGGGCAGCACTCGGCTCGGAGATCGACACAACTTCTCCCCGCTGAGGGACACCCAGCTCGTCGCACTCCCACTCTTACACGTCGAGAGCGAGCAGAAATTCTTGGAAGCTTCCTGCCAGATACTCAAGCTAGACTGCACCCAAACCCAAAATATGCCCCTTTCTGCTCGCCAGCCCATGCCTTTGCTCCCCCAGTCCCAGGCTGCGGTTGCAGACAGCAGGTTGGGTTTAGTTTCCCTTGGAGAGGCGAGAGTTTCATTGCCGTTGCTCAAACATGCCTTTCCGAATTTGGTCCTTGTTGACGAAGGACATGGTCTTGACAGGACAAAGATGCTGAGGGCGGTTTTGGGAGGGTGTTAACAAACATCGGTGCAGGATAGGCTAAGGGATATATCCCTCTGCTCACCATCACGCCTGCTGATACCCAACATCTCCATCTCCTCGGGGCGGGGCGTTACATGATGCTGCAGCTTCAGCGTTAAGCACCCTTGCACCGACTGCAGGTGACTCCCTGGCACGGACCGCTGCAGCCAGGCAGAGCGCTCAATGGAAGTGAAATTTGGTAAAAATTCTCGACTTGAACCATAAATCGCTTTATGAGCTTGGGAGGTTTTGCTGGCCTGCAGTCTCATGCAGGGAGCCCAAAGTGCTTTGCCTTTTGGTAGCAGCCAGCTGCAGTTGCTTGCTATGAGCCACACATCCGTTCACCGAGTCCAGGTTTAGCTTTGGAGCAGCTCTGCTTGCCCCACGATGGCTCTCAATAAGCCATCTCTCTAATTTAACCCCCTTACATCTCTCCCTAGGAAGGCTTTAAAGTCAAAAATAGGATTCAAAGACCTTCATCAAAATTTCAGATGCCACTACCCCCCCCCCCCCCAACTTACAAAGCGAGTTAGTTACAATATAAAACATTTCTTTCCTTTAACTGTCAGGCTGTGACGGGGTTTGGTGGTTTGGCCAACACTGCCCACTAACACGCATGTTTTATACCAGTGAACGGGGTTACGCTGGCACCCATCTCAGCAGTCTGATGAAGAGCACCGCAGCTTGGCTCCAGCCAACGTACTGATGCGGAGACACGTGGCCTGGCTGGGCACGATTTTGCAGATCGCCAATAACCACCCTACCTGGCTATGGACCTCTTGCTTCCTGACACGGGCTTCCTAAAATAAGGCGGCAGTCAGCAAACGGACGGTGCAATATGTGAAATGAGCGGTAGCAACCGTCACAGAAAAGCATCTCGAAGAAAGGGCAGGACAAACGGACATCTCATTTTATAGTCATAAACCAGACACGTCACGATACACCAGTTAATTCTCCAGCTGTTACAGGGACAGAAGGCAACAAAAGCTCAGACCACAAGACCTTATTACGCCTTATCAAATGCAGATAAAAAAGGGCCGGAGGGGCATGCAGGATCCGTAGCCTATATACAAACCTCCTGCCAACGGCTGCAGGAGTTGGGGGCCTGAACCGAAGTCCGGTTTCTGGAACAAAGTTTTGCCTTGGTGTTAGAAACACAGAAAACGAGGGATGATTCCCACAGCACGCGTTCCTCTTCGCTCTTTCAGTTCGTAATGGCAGGTGAATTTAAAAAAAAAAAGAGGCACGAAAACGACAAGCTAGCGATCGTTTCGCTCTCAGGAGACGCGCGCCCTTCGGGAAGCTTGCAGGAGGACGGCGGCGTCCTTGTCCCCGCTGCCCGGCGACGGCCCTCGTCCGCGCGACGCCGAGCTCGGCCTTCGCTCTGTGCTGTGCCCACGCCTCTACCGCGCTATTTTATCGAGATCTCGCTCCAGAAGAACCGCGCTGCGGTGGAGTCTCTAACCCAGCCGAGCTCCCGCTCGTCCTTAAGAGCGCGCCGACAGCTGCGGTGCCTTTCTTGGTGCATGCCGGCGTGCGTGGGAGGACAGCGGAAAAGGAGAAGATAAAAAGATTACAGTGTGACCTGCTGATAATTTATTCGGTTTTGCCTCGGACTAAAGCGGCGTTTCCTCCTTGAAAGCTGCCGCCTCCAAAATAACCTCTCCAGCTGCGCTGGGGACGGACTAGCTCACTTGACTGTGACCGAGGCAAGTGACACCAAAGGGGATGGTTTGGACATCTGAAAGGTTCAATGAGCTCCACTTGTGGCCTGCTTTAAAAAGATAAATTTATTAGCTGTAAACCTTTGTTGTGACATATAGAAAACTGGGAGAAGGACGAGGAGATTGATCAAATTTGAATCCTGGTGAGAGTTCTCCTTAGAAAAATGGTTAGAGGAAAAAAAAAAAGGAGGCTTTGAAATCAAAACTGTCCCGAAAAAAGCATTTCTGCTAGTTAAAAGCATTTAACTAGAAGAACTTTTTTTTTCTTTACAAACATAGTGCATCTGCAATCATTGAGAATTAGAGTCCGTTTAGAAAAGGGCCTGTGCTTAGGCTATCAAGAAGATGCTGGTGGCAACAGTGTGTGTCTAGGTGTGCGTGTGTCAGAGTGGAGGCCCAGGGAAAGGCTTTATATCTGTGCTTCTGAGGCAGGACAACCTGGAAGAAGCTCTCCGTTCATGACCGTCTCTGAAACCAACATCTTGTCTTTGCCAGAATCCAGCCGCTGCTTCTTGAGCATCCTTTGATGGACCAGAGGGACGACAGATAGCACCAAGCCTCCGATAATGGGGGGAACTCCAGCAAAATAAAAGGCAACGTGGTAATTCCCAAAATAATCATTGAGGTATCCTGAAAGAAAAGAGCGCCATTGGTTATAGCCGTGTCAGTCTAACAACTAACCTGTCTCCTCCACTGAGTGAGGACTCCGTTTTGTGGCCAGGAACACAAGAATGAAAGTCCCAGACATTCATTCTTATTTAACCAGAACAAAATACAATCAGACGTATCTTAGCTCGAAAGCAAGCTAAGATAGTGTTAGACAATCAAATGTTTCAGACGGCACTTCTGAGAGCTTTCACAGCCAGGAGGTATATAACTAAAAGCGGGCATGAGCTGCTCCTGAGCCGATTGCCTCCATCTGGAGGTTCTGCTCTGCTTACGGACGCTTTGTCTATTTTGGGATATGAGAGGGAGAATACGTGCTGCCAATTACAAACAATAACCGATCCCTTGAAAACCAATATACTCTGCGCTTGCTAGTTCAGCAAGTTCTGCCACAGCCAGGCCTCCTCAGAGAATAATACATTACCATTTTTCGACACTGGAAAATCCCTGTGAGTTTTCTCAAGTATAGAAACTTGTCTGGGAATTAGGTCTATGAAACGGGCCCCTTCATCTAATCCTGTGCCTCAGGAGTCCGATACAGGATGTTCTGCAGCACCAAAGTAACAGAGAGACTTCTCCAACCACCGAGTTCCTTCGTGATGGTATCGAGCTGAACATTTGCTGCCAGAATCAGGAAGATCAAATGTGCTTACGCATTTTTAGCTTAGTTATTTCAGTTGCAGAAGTTCTGTTGTTCAAGGGCCAGCTTCTGCAACATGCTCACTTTTAAGGACGTTCAGATTATCACTGTGCTTCACATGCTTATACATGCATATACAAGTCTTTGTAAGACTTGTGTTCAGGTGTCTCCATCTCTAACTTGGATTCAATAATCCAGGGCTTGAACTTACCAGTTAGCAATCAGTCCCCGGACATCACAATATTAAAGGACTTCTAAAAAATGCTAATCTTTGCTGTGACATGCTACTGAGAATAAGGCATCTATCTACTAAGTAAGTGTGGATTTTTTTTTGTCTGTATGGTCCACACTAAATTTGCTCCCCTGCTCAAGAAATTCCCTGAATTCCATTCCATGCTGCCTTGGAAATGAATCATTACCTCCTAAGTTTTAGCTTATCTTCCAGGGAAATTTGTTTATGTGCTCATTCTGCTTCTGAACCTGTTCTGCCGCTCCCTCACTGGTCACTTCTCATCAGTCTGGAGAAAGGTCCTCAGATGCTGACTTTCTGCAACAAGTCTGTACATTGGCGACACACAGCCAATCATCTGAGCTGCCAGAAGGCAAAGACTGCCTGTGCTGTTAGATTTGCCAAGGAGGCAGGACAGAGCAGCCAGCTGATCGGCACAGCCTGACTCAGTTCTTGCACTTTGGCAGGCCCAAGAGAGACAGGAATTTTTCAGTGGCTGAGGACATAATACTGGTAGAAAGGGCATATACAGGCATAACATATTAACAGCAACCAAAAGCCATGGTATATATATATATATATATTTTTCAACCCCTGCGGTAACAGGACAAGCTAGAAAGTTAAAAAGCATGTATCTGCTTTCGTACCAAAATGTCACCACAGGTGAAAGCTGCTACAAGTGTTTGCTCACTCCCAAAGCTGGTTCCAAGACCAACCCCAAGGGTGCTACCAACCTGCTATCGGCGGACCAGCAGTCATGGGCACGGCCATCAGGCCCATGAGGTACCCTATGGCCTGGGATGCCTGCATGGGCCCCACCAGCTCGAAGGCTATGGGGGCCATGATGGTAGTGAAGAATCCATCGCAAAGGCCGAGGAAGAGGCAGATGACAATGACGCCCTCAAACCCTCGGCACTGGGGGATCATCATGCACATGAGGCCCAACAGTGTAAAGGACGCAACCTGGAGAGACAAAAGCAGGCATGTTCTTTAGGTGTCTGCTGGGGTGGATGAGCTTAGGGTTTCCAAGGGCTGCAGGACTACTGGGGATGGCTAAGAAGAAGCTGCTCTGCACCTTCCCTCCAGTGACTTGAGGGTGTTTCATCTTAAAAGGAGAAGGTGAGCTTCTTGGCCAGGCAACACAAACACTTCAGGAGAAACAGGTCCTCAACCTTGTAGCTTCAGGTGCCTCAACTGATTCTGCAGCTAGTAAACTCAGCCCCCTATCAGGCATCATGGAGCGACATGCAGCTGCTCTGGACATTTGCAGTGACTCAGATGGCTCATTTGCTGTCCGGATCGTTTTCCTGCTCCCATAAGCTGTATGATTGCTCTTCCAGCCATGCCTTTCTGGCCCTCCTTGTCACTCTCCACCCTTCATTTTCATCCCATTGTGAAAAATTCCTAAATAACTGAAGGCCTCAAGCACAGTGAAGAACACTCACTATTTAATCCCAACATTTAATCAGTGGGAGGTGGATTTTTTTTTGTAGTGCTTAAATCATAGCAGATTTTTTTCAAAACATCCGGCCATTAAAATAGGCTCAGGCATCTTGAACAGGAGCAGCAAAGCCAAAGCTGCTTGTTTACACAGGTGATGCTACAAGACCCAGGAATAGAAGATCTACCAAATGCTTCACTAGAATGAGTGAGAAGTTTGTGGGAACAAAGATGAGACCGTGCAAGGACAGCTTAGGCTCTGAGCACAATCCCAGAGTCAGGAACGTCTCACAGCACAGAGGGCCTCCTCTCAGAGACGACTTCTGAAGGATGCCATTACTACCCATTGCCCTTGGTCATCTTTTCACATCCTCTGGGATCTCAGCCAGGACTGCAGGACTTTGCTTTTATACTTCCTGCTTCTTGGAATTGCAGACAAAGCTCAAAAAGCTCCTTGATTTGAATGACAGCGTGACTAGCATTTCTTCACCTGAACTAGAGAAAGCAATGGCTTTAGTGCTGCTGCATTTCTCTTTCCTGATCGAGGGCTCCAGAGGTCTCTTCTCCCACAAGGAGACAGCCGGGCAGTTGCAAAAACTGTTTTAGCCCTGTGCTGCTGACTGAATAGATGTTATGCATACTCCTAGGAAGAGCTGATTTCTACTGCCTGTCCGCTCTGAGACGCTAGCAGAACTGCTCCTTTTACAGCAGGCCTGAATCCAGAGCAGCAAAACAGATGGCAATCAGTTCTGCTGAGAAACCTCTCATATCCCCTCTACTTTGAAGCAGGGAGTTAGACACTAGGGATATAGCGACTTGTTAAAGGGAAGGTAAGCACCAGTTAGCAGTTCGTCAAGACCAAAACCGTACTTTAAATGATGACAATACTGAACAGGTCAACAACATTATCCTGTTCTCTGAGCCCAGCAATGCCATCAACCCTCTGTTCTTGTCTCAGAGAAGTCCCTTAAGAAGGACCTTTTAAGAAGCCTTAAGAAGGATTATCTGACGGATTATCTGCTAGATTTCAGCAGTTTGTTTATCAAAACCAAAAGAAGGTGAGAGGGTGTCTAGCAGTTAGGGAGAGAGTCAGGACTACAGTCTTCTATTGCTGAATTGATACCAAGACTTGAGGTCAAGCATGTAGCTTTCTGTTCCTCTGTGTACCCCTGTTGTTCCCTCATGGCATATGAAAGTGTTAGCTAATGGTTGGAAAAGGATTTGAGATCTGTCATTGACAGTTATTAAGCTGAATGACCCAAGTTGCTGAGCTGCAGTAGTTAGCTGGGAACTACATGAAGGATCAGGCAGAACTTACCTGCAAATAAATCTTCTTTAGTCCAGGAATGCAGTCACCAATCCGACCTGAAACCAAGCGTCCGAGCCCTGAGGTGGCTCCAATGCAAACCAAGAGAATCCAATCCTTTTTTTTTTCATTAAATTCCTTCTCCACATATTTTATCTAGGATGAAGGGAAGGAAATAAGAATGTTAATCTTCCCTAAGGTGGTTCATCTCACACGCCACAAATGGATGTGCTGGAATGACCTTAAACACTAAAGCAAGAATTTTTTGGAGGGAACACAGACTTCTAAATTCTGAGCATGTGTGTTCGTTGAGTGTGGACTTCCCTTAGAGGGCTCGCTGCTCTTTGGGGTGGCTGCAATGCTCATATCCATGCCATGCTGACATGAGCCCACCACATCCATGCATTGCAAACCCAAGGGCCAACAACTCTGCCTCCCCTCTCTGTCGTTACCAATTCTCCTCCCAGCAGTCGAGCGTGACAGAAACGCTGCCACCTCGCCTCTGGAGTCATTTCAGTTCAGCAGCGGGAAGCAACCGCTCTGCCACTGCTTGATGCAGATGTTGTCCGGAGGGAGCAATCAACATGGTCCTTTGTAGGAACATTCAAAAGCCATCTGTCCCCCGTCACTATTCCTGTTTACAGGAAGTGCCTGCAGCAGTTTCTTAATTTCAAGGCTTTTAACAGCTCTGTCCCGACTGGTTCTCTCCTCCTCTTGCCCTTCTCCACCTTTCTACCTGCTCATTGCACTCTACTCTGTTTGCAAGGAGGAGCCATCTCACTTGCGGCAAAGGGACGACCCCCCCCCAACCCTTCCTGCCCTGACAATGCTCTTACCAGGTGCATGTAAGGTACAAGGTATCCCAGGACAGCAGTAGCGATCCCAAAGGCCCAAATCCGATAGGTCTTTCTCCGGAAAACCCTCAGGTTGAAATACTTGCGCAGCTGAGACCAGCACTGCTGCTGCATGCTCCGGCTGACCATCTTATCTCGCCCATCATGCTGAGAGTCACAAGAAGCTGGCAAGATGGGCCGATACGTCAGGGACAAGAATATCTGGATGAACATAAAGGCACTGAGTACTTGGAAAGTATGCGCCAGCCCGATGGCCTTGCCGACTGTCTTCAAAAAGAAGGGGAGGGAAACGGAGAAGAGGCAGCTGCCACCGGCCACGATGCCATTTGCCAAGCCAAGGCGGCGTTTGAAGTAGTGACCCAGGATAACCAACGAGGGCTGGAAGGCGAAGGAACTGCCACAGCCGAAGAGGATCCCGTATGTGAAATAACGAACTTCAAGAGACCTAGCAGAAACACACAGGAACGTGGTTATGTTACACAGGGGTAAACAAACTTTCTCACACAGTCTGGCAAAAGCTTGAGTCAAGACCAAGGTCTCACATGTCATGGGCACTACACAGACAGTCTGGTCTTGAGGAGCTTATTCCCTAGACAAAGCAAGGATTATCCTCATTTCACAGCTGGCATGTTAAATCTTAGAGAAAATGAAGTCTAGCCAGGGAGTGCTTTCTGCAACGAGAAGTGGAGAAGGCAGCAGCCAGCCTACCCTCCTTGGGAAGTTCACCTAAATTGAAGAGTTTTTAAACTACAGCAAAAAACCTTTACTAAGGCAGGCAGGGTGCGTTATTTTTAGCTGGAAACCCAGCTTTTTTCCACTGAAACAACTAATTGAAAACACTCTGCACCCACTGTTTAAATGCAGAAGGCACCAACCTCAGTGATTATTAGGCACTTAGGAAGAGAACATTGTGTTTCCATCCAAATTCCAGACTGGATAATTATGTTCTTCTTCTCTGAGCTCCTGCAGAAGTTTCAATTAGATGTTTAACAGATTTCATTTTTACCTTTCAGAGGTGACTGCATTTGAGGAGGGAGTGAAGTGGCTGCTCTACAGAGCATGTGTAAAGTACTTGAGCCCCTTTGGAACGAGCCGTTTCTCAATTGCTGGCCCAGTTTTCCCAATGGAAACAGCTAAGAAAGGAGTCTAAAGTTAGGCAATGCAAATAACTCTTGAGTTCCTACAAGCTTCTCTCCAGAAGAAGGGTTTTTTTCTATCCCCGTGCAATACATTCAGCTGCAAAAGCCTGCCACCAACATGCTGCACGGGAGGAGAGTGTGACGGAAACACCTAGGGTAATTCACCTCGGTCACTAACCAGCCTAAAGGCCCTGCAGGAACTGGGTCCTGGTTATTCCAGTACTCAGAACTGCTTGCGTAAAAGACTAAAAGCTTTTCCCAGAGCAAGTGAGAAGACAGCAGCCCGGATGAAACAAAGCAGTTTTAGAAATTGAGAAAACGTTTATGAGTGCATCATTTATTCCATTACAAGCTTGACTCTTCAGCTAGCCAAGCAGAAAGCAGAACGTGATTGCTGTACCCAAGTGCTCGAAGACAAATGGCTGTCACGAAAGGCAATTTCTAGCTACTCTAGAGCTAAGCTCCATCTGAAAAACCCTCTGCCAGAAGTTAAGCAAACAGCTGGATTGCACAGGCTGCTCCCACAGCCATCCCAGGCAAAGCCCCGAGAGTGACAGAGATGTCGCGGGCGCCAGGGACTGACCCACTTACTGAGGGCTGTGGGCACCACAGGAGGTCCCGCTGATCTCAGCTAGATCACACCAACTTTCAGGACTGCGGCTAATCTTACATTTTGGATAAGGGGAGACAAACGCCACAGGTCCCATCTGCTCCCTGGTGGCGTTAAACATCCCTGCAACAGGGCACAAAAGCGGGGGCTTGATTGAGGCCTGTTTCTTAGCCAGGGTTTCCCCTCCCGTTTGCTGGGAATCGGCCAGCTGCTCTGCTCGCCCCAGCACAGTTGCCTGTTGGGAACCGTGGCTCCGTCTCCCTGGGATAATTAGGTCGCTCTCTAATGGCTGCCTCTCACTTACAACTCACAACCGAAACAGCTCCTGTTCAGCCCCAGTGGCAGAGGCTTTGGGGGGTCTTATTCTCTCAGGGGAACATCTTGAATGCCACTGCACAAAGGCAGAAATGACACCTCAAGAATGCCCTTGAGGACAACAGTGAAATTCAGCCACGGGCCAAAGTCTCGCATGCCATAACTGCAGAAAACGCTGAGGGTATGGCGAGGAGCAAGGGAGAAGTAGGTGCAGAAAGCAAGAGATGGGTCTCTCGGAGAAAAAGACTTTGCATTATTAATGCTGAAAGATGAAAGGAGGCAAGAGCAGTAACTGCACTGCAGAGGACGTGAGCTGAGGAGAGATCCCTGCTGCTGAAGGCCCATGTAGAAACCTTGGTACGGCGGGAAGCGAAGCAGGAGGTAAGCCACCTGGGGGGCTCACAGCTGACATGCAGCCCACCTACAGCCAGATCCATCATGGGAGCTCCTGCTTCATTGGCTCTGGGGCTGCTCTGCCCCGGGAGAGGCGGGAGGAGCTCGCCAGCAGCTCCAGGAGCAGCATGAAGAGCCTATCTCCCGGCTTAGGGGAGACAGATGAAACACAGCAACGTCTCAGGGAAGAAGCAGAAATTGGGTTGAGTAAGGCAAGGCAGAAGAGCTAATCATTCCCCACCGCAAAACTCTTAATCGTCCGCAGAGAGGCAGGGTGGAGGGTTTGAGGGGCCCACGAGGCCTGATGGACGACAGCCCTGCCAAACTAGCCAACGTTTCCACCTCTGTCGTTCCCTGCCTTCACACTACAACATCCCACTCCAAAGCGGTGGGAAGGGGAAGTGTGAACCCAGCTGTTATTTTTTAGATCAGCAGCAGCCCTGGCTGATTAATAGCGTAACAAAGCTCACTGAAAGGCGCCTAACGGAAGGCCGGAAAGAAAGGATAAGCTGCTTTGCTCCTCTTGCTGCCAAGCTGCATGCCAGCTTCTCAGCTACAACGAATCCAGAAAACCTCGGCCTTCCCCCAGTCTCTGCTTTTCAGCGCATTTTGTTTATTTAGTGACTTTCATATGGAGCTCCCAACATTTTGTGAGTAGGAGGCACTGGCTGTGAGCAAGCCCCAACGCCGCTGCTTGGTTCCTGCCTTTTGAGCTCTGCGGCCACGTGGTTGAGGCATCTTCAGCTCTGCTCAGAGCGGTGCCGGGACTCTCTGGGCACTCTGTGTTCAGCTCGCGCACAGCATCTCCCTGTCTGTTCTCACATTGCTCATAAAACGGACTGCAAAGACCAGGTGTCCCCTGAGCAAGCTTGGCCAGGCAAGGACGGGGCAGTGGCAAGCGGTGCTGGGGTGGGGTGGCAGGAGCCACCTCAAGCCCGATTGATGAGGGAGAAGGCTCGGGGTCGATGTGCAGTGTATGATGTCTAGGATTTTTAAACCTGAGCTAGACAGTGCTTTTCACCAGCTGTAGTTGCCATGCATTTAGGCCAGCCTGCCCACTGGCGTGCCTGCTCCTGTGCGGAGTTTGTGACATCAAAATAAAAAAGCCTCTTCATTGTTCTGGGTGAGCAGGAGCTGCTAGCTCCAAATTTCGGGCCTGGGCTTCATGATCCAGATGGAGAACTTCCAAATCGCACAGCCCCACTGGTTTTGGGGCTGTGCTGAGCCGACTCTTGCTCAGCTTTGCCTAAGGCAGCTCAATAAATAGGCCTCCCTTCGCTTCCTGCGGTACAGCTGCAAAGGGGTTTCATTTCTCCCTTAAAAGGCAGCCAAAGGAATTTCAGCTAAGAGCAAGAGAGCAAGAAATATGGATTTCAGCTCTGAAGTTCTCCTGGAAATAATACTTTTCTCTGTATGCATTTTTTTTTAAGCCCAACACAACCATCCACTGGCAGTGATGTGGTC